AAAGGGAGTCGCGCCATAAAGCCCATAACACACAAAAAAGCACCCCTATATTAGAAGACCCCCCTATTTTGGAAGCCCCCTCCATAAACAAATACCCCCCCCCCCCCCCCCTTGAATAAACGACGCAAAAGACAGATTAGAAGACCTCCTCTACTATAGTCATTTTTTTAAGTTTTACTTTGATGAATATACTTTTTCTTGCTTTATGTGTATTTGTAAGCTTCGCTTCAGAAATATTTTTCTGGTCATTTTAACATTCAAAACAGTCTGTAGTTGAATAATATAAAGTGTAATTAACGGACATATGTAAACGACATTTCGAAAACCAGTCTGTATTGTGATCAAGTTCAATTATCTTTCATTTAAATTATTTTCTTTTCACGAAAAGTCGACTTTATAATTGTTTTCAGAACTAAATAAACATAAAATATCTCTTATAGATAATGATCTAATCACAAATTCTGTGAAAAACGTTGCTACTACGAAGTGTCAATCAACTATTTTCTTGTGATTAAATGCATTGCATAATAAAGATGTTCGCTTTATGAAATCTACTTTTGTAATAGAATATAGACTATTTTGTTTTACTGTACTAGCGTAGAAAAAGCAAACAAAACGTTTACTCACAACATAAGCAGCATAAAATGACTTTTATAAAAAACTATATCATTGGGGGTAGCAAAAAACTATGTGTTGTTTAGGGATATAATAGAGGCCCCCCCCCCTTATAACTTGCGAACGATAAGACAGAATAGAAGGCCCCGGGTCTTCTAATGTGTCAATGGCTTTATTTTCTTCTATTCGTTGTTAATCGGACATGCTCGATAAATCGCTGATGTTGGAGAGAAAGATGTTTTTTTCTTTGTAGCCCTTATCGTGTTTTTTATTTTTATTTTCGCCGACGATTAAAAATATAGCGTAGTCTCTTTTTCGTTTTCTTTTTCTTCATTTTGTTAAACAAATGATTGTTGCAGCAACAAGTACCTTAAATTATATTCTCGTTCGTGTTCGCTTCATTTTCACTTTCGCGTGCATCGATGGACTGAAGTGCATAATACTCTTGTTCATTAGATCAGACTCTTATGAAAGGTCCATCCTGATGTAATAAACCTCCTCTCGTTTATTTGTGTTAACTATCCGATATATAGAGGATGTTCTTCTCTTACACATAATACTTCTTGTCAATGCGGAACAAGAACAATATTCCACTAAGTATTCATTTCTTTATCTTCTGTATCTTTCTCTTGTTACAGGTACTCAACGATACATTTAATATCGCGAAAACATTCAAGCATTCATAAACAAAACGATAGTAAATAGGATGGATGGAGATTATAATTTACAGGTTCGACGTAAAAACTGTCGTCTATTAATTTTTGATTCTGAGGATTCAGGCACACTTGATCCTATAATCGGCTATGCTCAAGAGCCACTTGTTACACTACTTGAAGCATGCCAACCATTAGTTACTATTCTTCATGATATATTTGACTACGCTCGCGATGCTCTGGAGCATACTCCAGATAATCCACCCGATTATCTGAGTCGCGACGAATCAGCTTCGATTCGTCTCTACACCAAGGAATGGAGGGATGAACAAAAAAGCCTCTACATCATTCTTAATGAAACGCTTAACCAATCTGATCGCGAAAAGTTACGACCGTGGTTCAAATACCTGAAACTTTTTCTCACTGGCGTGGTCAAAATACCGTGTGCACCTCAACAGACTATCTGGCGAGGAGTGCGAAAAGATGTTAGTAATGAACATCCACCAGGAACTACAGTGACATGGTGGGGTTTCTCATCGTGTACAAGAAATATATCTGTGTTAAAGAGTAACGTTTACCTTGGTGATGAAGGTACGAGAACCCTTTTCTCCATCGAGGCCTTCAACGCCAGGGATATACAGGCTCATTCTTACTTCAACCGTGAAGAAGAAGTTTTACTGCTACCGGGAACATATTTGGAAGTGCAAGAACAATTAAATCCGGCATCTGATTTGTATATTATTCATTTGAAACAGATGATACCGAAGCACATGTTGCTTGAACTTCCATCCGAAGGTATGTTGAACAACTAAAAGATAAGAAAAATAGCATGGCTTTCGAAAAAATTATTATCTAGTAGTGCTGTTGGAGCTGAAACAGTAAAGCTTCCGGTTTGATTTCAGAGTCTTTGCCAGCTCTTGTAAGAAAGTAAACAGATATTAATCGAACTCGTAGATTACTAAGGCATCATATATCTGCTTATATTCAAGATTTTTGACTGTTGTACTATTAAATAGCTAGAATCCACATACATTGCAGGAATGCTTTTTTCTCTCTAGTAGCACTATCTTTTAACTGTGATGATCTTGGCCAGAAAGTCTCTATATCTCTGTCACATGGTATGTCCTTCTTCGTTGTAAATACGTCGTATGACGTATTATTGTTTATTTCATGATTGCATGCTCTGCTTTGGACTTATGTGCATGTGAGAGAAATGTTGATCATTTGTCCATTCATATATCTATAACTTTTCTCTCGAACTTTCAGTTAACACAGGATTCATTCATCGGTTTTCTATTTTGATTAAATAGTATATAGCTTGAAAGGAAGTTATCAGATTAATCTATGGCTAGAACGTGCGATGGACACATACGCTAAGCATTTGATTATATTACTATCAGTCATGATTAGTGCTTATCTGATTGTGTGAACACATGAGATAGTAATCATAATAAAGGAAAACGTCTAAATACAAAGCATGTTCAGAGAATCCGGGAAGTCATTTACGAAGAAAAAATGCAATATTTTCGCATAATTTTGATAAAATGGATTTTTTCTGATGATAGAATAGAATTCTAAGTTCTTATTCATGCACAAAAACTGTAACAGCATTGCTTAACAGTTTTCCTATCTACTAAAAACAGGAAAAAATTAAATCTTCCGCCGAAGATGCAAGACATATTTTGGACTGTACGTAATATGATTTAAATTCATCATGTTCTTCAGGTTTTCTTAATATTTAAACTAAATCAGTTGCAATATTCGAGTATTCGCTAGCCTATCTGATTTCTCCAAGAGTTTTCAGCATCCTTTCGGATATTCTTACAAAGAAAATTTTCGATAAATTCGTGTGTACTGTCAAGTTTTGGCAGAGTATCTTCATGAGCTACCAATTACAAAAGCGTAAAGACATTCGAAGTTTTTTCGGACATATCTCATTCTGTGGAGCACTTTTGATTGATAATTTTAGTACAACATTTTCTATGTTCATCACCATATAACGATGGTGGGTTAAATTATTTTAGGGTCACAGAACTTCTGAGCAATTTGACGTTTTTCATCCTTATCACATTAGCAGTATCATTTGCGAATGATAACAGAGCGTTTTTTACTAAAATGATCGGCGAAAAAAAGCTTCAAACAATGCGATCTGTCAAAAAGACCTAGGATACATATGCTTTTTCTGGTCGACTCTTTATGAAAATATCTGCACAAAGATCAAACAGTGTGTTGAAGCCGTTGATAGTATTGTATTTCAAGCTTGTGCATTGAAACGAGGATGCATAGATAAAAACTTGGAGCTTTCCTCGTTCATCTGGAAAAATCAGCTCATTTAGTCGAAGATACAGTAGAGATGTACAATGTTTTTCGTTAAGAAACTTTCTGAAAATCCTGTAGATTACTTGTGAATAACTTACAAGAGCCAGTCCATATAAGCGACAGCCGGTCACATACGTAGGGACACTGCTCAATCGCGATCATCAAATTCTGCTCAATTTAAGATATGTTGTAGACGGAAGAGTTTTAAGAATTTTGACGCAAGCCGTTTTGAAACATATTGATGTCTCAATTTTTTATGAACAATTTACGAAAAGCCCTAAAAATGACCATATTCATCAAAGAGTGTTCTAACGTGGTCATATCTCAAGAACGACTGAACTGATTGAGCTGAACATTTTTGGAGACATATATCTCAGTGAGTTCTATTTACCATAAAACTTTTGTTTCAAAATATTGAACTGTTGAGATTTAATGAAGTACCCAATATATGAAAAAATGAACATTTTTAGTAAGTTTAGTGTTTCATAACTTTTGATTGAAATGAATGAAGTAGAAGTCTGAAATTTTTACTGTGAATAGAGCACTGAAAGTTGTATCTTTTCTAAAAATTTCAGACATCTATGTTGTTCTGCTTGGTCAGGGAAGTCCTCTCAAAAATGGATTTTTGATAAAAATGGGAGTTTTCATGATAGGCTTTCTCCCAAAATAGGGTTTAGCTGGAGAGCTGATCTTTAGAAGTTCGAACTACTCTCGGTGCGCTACAATCTTATAAAAATATTAGCGTAGGATCTCCAGAAATATGGTCCTGGGAGACTAATTGAAAAATACCAAGTTCTCTTTGAAATTACTCTAAAAATTTCATCATATGAGATAAATTCTACCCAGTAAAAATTAGTATTTGATCTTCTATTACATCCCATAAAAATATATTTTAAAAATGACAAAAAAAAATTTCAAAAAATCCCCATACTCCCCTCCAGGTCTCTTTATGAAGAACCTGCGTCTACAGATCCCTGTATCCCATGTAAAAATAAAAAGGGCATTTAACGAAATAAGGGTTGAAACTAACGCCAAAAACTACGTTAAAAGATAAATTAATGAAGTTTCACGAAGAATAATCCATGAACTTCCTTTAAGTTTCGAAAATTCGTAAAAACGCGTTCATTTTTTCACGCTTGATTTTTCTTTTAACGGCAACTAACTAGTTACATGTCAGCAAATGCTGTATTCACTTTCACGTGTGAAGACTTTTAACGATATTTCTTGAGTTTTGTAATTTTTATCGGATCTTACCCCATTAACTATCGTTAAATGTTGCATTCATTTTCATGCGTGTAGAACTGCAAATTTTTCGCTTGAATTATGTGCTAACTGTATAAGTGCGTAGCACTAGGGGTGTGAAGTTATTGTTATTTTGAAAATAACAATAACTGATATTTTATGACTTGTGAATGTAATGAAATATATTATATACCAACAGAAAGCGGACAAAATTCTAAGCAGCAGGAGACAGTTAAATATGAACTACGTAAAGTTTTGGAGAAATGCCAGAGAGAGTTATTTTGAAAATAACAATAACTTCTCAACCCTAATTTACACTCATTTGTTCCTCTCTTGCTCCGTCCTACCATTGACTTATTTTTTGTTCGCGTGAGAGCAGACCCATATAAAAAAAATCATCAGCTGCTTTTTTTCTGATAATTTCTAGTTCAGAAAAAACTAGTTAAAAGAGTAGAGCCTATAGATAAATTTTAAACCGACAATAGTATAGTTGTACATGTGAGTAAATGAGCTATGTTTTCTGAAAACTCAAGATTTATTTATGTAGTTTGACTTGAGATTTTTCCAAGTATTTCACCGTTGAGTTAAGATAAATTGATTTTTTAGCGCTTAGAATTCACATCTAATATGAAACACGATGACGTGCTCATCTCAACTAAGTACGTAAGCTCATACATACGTTATTGTTCAGTATTTTTCAAACATTGTTATCGACCGCACGTCTGAGGAACTTCCTTCAGTGATCGATATCTTCTTAGGTTTCATTCGTCTGAAGAGAAATATTCACCCAAACAGTTCAGTATTAGCGGTATTTTCTAATAAGATGCTTACGAAAATCTCTTTATATCTAAAATTATTCCGTAATAGATAGAAAAACCAATCATGGAGTACAATATGTTTTTCTTTTATCGATATCTCAAAATTTAAACTAGTATAGTCGTATTATTTCTCTCATGTTATGATATACATTTTTAGCATGTATACGGATTCACAATTGTAGCGAGGAAAACCATCACTAGTTTAAATTTTGGGATATCGATAATAGAAAAAAAACATTGTATTTCATGATCGGTTTTCCGATCTTTTAGGAAATAATTGTAGTGATAACAAGATTTTGGTTGGCATCTTATTATAAAGTACCTCTAATACTGAACTGTTTAGCTGAATATTCCGCTTCAGATAAATAAAACTTAAGAAGATATTGATCACTGAGGGGAGTTCCTCATACGTGCAGTCGATAACAATATATGAAAAATACTGAATAATAATGTATATTTGAGCTTACGTATTTAACGTGTTTTTACGCGTTTTTGAATAAATCACCGCGCGAAGAATCGGTCGAAGTTTACCGATTTAACGAAAAAAAAACGTGTTAGAACTTTAAAAACTCGTTAAGCACGTTAATTTTGCGCACTTTTGACGCGTTTTCATGGTTCAAATTGTAAAATATTTAATCATGAAATCGTTAAATTTTTAACGAATTTTCACGTCACAAGATTTCAGTTAGATTGGCAAAAAGTTTTACATGCGCCATTCCCCGCCTTCCCCGCCCTACGGGGATTTTTTGCGAAAAAAACTTTTTCATGTTTAAAGGATATTTTTATGAAGGGTACTAGAGGATCAAATGCTGGTTTTTACTGGGTAGAATTTATCTCATATAATGGAACTTTTGGAGTAATTTCTAAACAAATTTGGTACATTTCCTATAGACAAGGGCTCATTTTGGTATTTTTCAATTAGTCTGCCAGGACCATTTGTCAAGATCCCACACTAATTTTTTCATTACTTTGTAGTACTTAGTGAGCACTGTGAAGCTACATGAGTCCGACTTCTATAGGATCCATATCTTGGGAGATCGACTTATCCAAAAATCGTGATTTTCGTCAAAATCATGATTTTTTGTGCAAGTTCTTCTGAATAATACGAACTATGTAGAAAGCTGAATTTTTTAATGGATAAGTACTCAATGAGGCCTCTCTGTAGCGAAAATTTCAAATCTCTAAAATGATCCGCTGATGAAATTTCTAAATGCAGAAAATAGCGAAAATGAACATTTTTCGTGTACCTGGTAGTATTGGTCAGCTCATCACTAGTTCATCCATATGAGCTCATGTTTTTTCGGTAATACAGAATCATAATATCTATTCACAGTAAAAATTTCAAGTCAAATGTATATATCCTTAATGACGTATAGATGCCACAAAAAATCACAAAAATGTGCTTTTGTTGATGATACTACCCTGCGAAAGAT